CACTGGTCGACAAGAACTATCACGTTACAATGCAACTCAGGCTCATTAAATCAGCAACCAACAGGCGTATGGGATTTAATCTCATCATAAGCACTAACCGTAACGACAATACTGAACATCGGCGGGCACCATTTGTTCCAGAAACGTACTTCAAAGGCGTCTCCAAAGTCCAAAGAAACTATCAAGTGAGACAAAACCAAGGGAAGAATGTAGAGTGAATCAAGAGGAAATCAGAGAGTTGAATATTATCAAGAATCAACGGATTGACAGATTACACAGCATCATTAAGAACTCACTTGTGCTTGCCTGAAGGTACGGTAGGGGACCTAAAAGGAAAAACTGCGATTATTGCATCAGACACCCATCACCAGCATCATTGTTGCGCCGCACACGGTGGGTTCAATACCGTGCTCGCCAGAAAAGCAGCAACGACAACTAAGACGCGATGGAGATTTCATCAAACTTACCCAAGTTGCACGAAACGCCCACGTGAGAGAAGGCGCCCCAAAACACAAAAGCAACCTGACGCATTCGAACAACATTTATTTGGAATTTTATTTCGGAAGGTGTATATGGAAAATGCTATAGCAGCATGAACATATCAATTGCTTTGATATCTAATAAGGATTTTTATTGTCATTTTGAATAATATTTATACTGTACGAAATTCGGTGGTATTTACAAGTTAAAAAGTTCCATATTCTAATTGATAAAATTATTGTACTGTACTAATACACTAAAGACAATCAAATTGCTCAGTTTTCTAAAGCAATTAGCAATCAGAAATGCAAATGAATAAAGTACCATACAACTAATATTATCAAAAGCCTTGATGAATTTTGTGTTTGTTGTCACCAAAAAGAGCCATGACAACAAACTTTGCAGATTAAAGGACAAGTGTGAAATCGAGTGGCGAACACGGTACGTTAAAGGACACGTAAATGTTAATGCTAACTAATTATTGTTTTCACTGCAGACAAATGCATATGGTAAGGAGAGTATAAAGTCATCCAACCGAAATTGGGAACAAAAGAGCATATATTGTAGGCCGATAAGCGCAGGAATTCAATCGCTTCCCTCCACAGGTAAAAATCAGCGTTAATGGTTTGACTGGCAACACAAACTCACTAAATGCGGTGCTATGATCGACGTTGCAACAAATACGCCACCAGCCACTGAGAGAATGCTAGCTAAGTGTCGAGTTGTCCTTCGCGGTCCCTACGAAGATGCCCTACCAGACCAGGCAACTACGATGACTGCCACGTTGTCTCAGATGAACGCGCCTTCTCAGGCCGATTACCCTGGACGAAGAGGCATCCGAGAGTACCCCAGGCATCCGATCGGTGGCGGTTCTCGACGCCCTTTGCTGTAATCTACAGGATATGTGACATTCGGTTGTACAAATCTTAACTCGTTTTATTATGTTCAATACAAATTCAATCCCCTGAAGTGTTTACTTCAGCGTCATTAGATTCGATGATTACTCCAGGCGGAATTTGTTGGACTAGCTCGGTGCTTTCTAGTCGATTGACCTCTGATTCTAAGCTATGTAACGAGAATTTAGCACACATACGAGGCCACTTGGCTAGATTGCTTAATGAATTCATCCTTGGTTGCTACTATATTATTGACTGACTTGTGTCATGTAATCAATCGCTCACGTTACATACTTATTGCATAGGTGCCTTGTTTTATTGTGATTTGATCACACCACAGGGAAACTTTCAGAGTTGAGCATCACAAGCGCACAGCCATAGTTGGACGCCATAGTCACATCCAAATTGGTAATGTGATTTTGTTGACATTCCCGGTCCTCGGAGAATTTTTCCAATTTGCTTCATGCATTTGGTTTTCAAGTCCTGAAATTCATAATGCAGGTCAATACTGTATCTCCCTGACCCTCTCTTGGTTCTAGTTATCCTTTGGGACATGTGAACGAGTCCTTAGAACAGTTACGCCTGCAATAGTTACGCCTGTCTGCTGTGGGCCGTTTTCTTCAGTTCCCTGCCTCTACGTGTACTTATAATTTCGTAGTAGTATAGGTAAATGTGTCAGGATTTATACTCCTAGTCTTAGGTGTCTTCACGTAGGCGACAATACAGGATGATTGTTATCTGTCTTAGTTTTAAAAAAATACGGGGCTTAGAAGGCCTTAATAACACTATTACTAAAATTCGACAATTTGAATTTATCGACTCATCATGACATCACCATTCACCTCTGTTGGGGATCCACAATACCCCAAGATTGCTCGTCGTTGGTTCCTGGCACAATTTACACTAATTCACTAACAGGTGTTTTATTACACTTTTTATCAGGTCAAGATCAACCCTGACTTGAAGTAGTTCCACGTCCGATAACTCTCTCCGTCGTGGCTGACGTGAATACAGCTCTCTACACGAGCTCTGGTCTTGTTCTTGTATTAGCCTGGGAATTACGGTTCTAGGTTCAGCTAGGGTTCTGGTACCGTTATTTAAGTGGTTTTCTGTATTGCTACGGGCAAACGTAACAGAATTTGGCGACGCAGGTGAGATGAGTGACAAGGGGGTGGAACAATTACTCGAGCGGCTAGTGTCAATGTTTGCAGATCGCCAGTCGTCTCAGGCTGCTCCCGCCAATACACCGTCAGTTGACGGGCTCACCACCTGTATATTGGAGATTTCCTATGATCCGGAGAATGGGTAACGTTCGAGTCCTATTATCAGTCTCACGAAGACCTGTTTTGAGTTGATCTTGCGTCCCAGGACGACGCATGGAAGGTCAGACTCCTTACCCGCAAACTGCATCCAGCCGAACTGAAGACATACACTGACACGATCCTCCCCGAGTCCTCGGTTGACTTCACTTTCAAAGCAACCGTTCAGAATCTCAAGCGGGTGTTTGGAGAACGCACCTCCTTGTTCAGTACCCGGTACCAATGACTCAAACTCGAAATAGAGGAGTTTGACGACTTCCTCGACCATCTAGCACTGATGATCAGCCAAAAAACTCTCATTCTCATTTGCAGCCTTTAAATTACTAAGTACACAGATTTGTGAACGCGGCTGCTACGCTTGATTGATCAAAATCCCTCTGTGACGTTGGACAATATTCGCGATGAATACCTACACTGGAGCAGCGTGCTGCATGACTCCAGAATGGTCCAAGCTGGCGGCCGCAGTGCTCCTGAAGTCAATACGGTCCAACGTATCCAAAAACCATCTCCCACTTCTGGCCCTCTCAGCCCTCATCAGCCGAAATCGGGCGGAGAATCAGCCGACACAAATCGTCGAAGGAAAACAAGGAACACCCCTCCTTCCGCGTGTTGGCACTGTGGAGCCTGGCATTATGTCAAGTTCTGCCCTTACAAGCAACATCGATGCCAGCGGTGCAAAGGTAAGGGACACATGGACGGATACCGCCAATCATTCCCGTCTAACAAGAGTGGACGGCACCACCACCTCCACACACAGAAAAGGTCAAAACCCAAAACAGCCAGCCCCATCATCGCATCTCTCAGCCTCCGGGTCACCTCCAAAAACACTTCACAGCAGCTGAGGATGTATACAATCGTCCTCATCAATGGTTATCGAGTTCGTCCGCAGCTAGACAAAGTACTCAGACATCGACAAGTAAAATGCGAAATCTTCTTGACTTCAGTCGAGTATCTGGGCCATCCGTTACGTCCAAGGCAAATGGCCAAACGCTCTCCCACCTAAGATCTACAGCAGTTGTTCCAGCGACGCGATTACGTCTGTGTTATAGACGGCGGCTTGGTGTTCAGAGAACGCGTTATGGTGCCCAAATCACTGCGCTTGCGGGTTCTTCTTCTATTTCATACTGGTCATCTCGGCATCGGTCACATGAAGTCTATCGCCCGCAGCTACGCTTACTGGCCAAATACGGATCAGCAAGTCTCAGACCTATTCAAGAGTTGTCGCCAATGCCAGCAGACCGCCAAGGACCCTCCCAAGGTTCCTTCAGTCCCTTGGCCGCAACCAAAAAAAACCTGGTCACAGATCCATATGGACTTTGCGGGACCGATCAACGGAGTCTCACACATTGCGCTGGTGGACGCCTACTCAAAATGGCTGGAAATTGCCCCAATGACTTCCCCCCACAACAACGAGGACATTACAGGCTCTGTCCCAGATTTTCAGCCACCATGGGATTCCGGAAACAATGCTCTCAGACAACGGACCACAGGTCACATCTCAACCCTTCAAGGAATTCTGTCGACAGCATGCTATTGCACACATGCATTCCCAACCCTACCACCCACAGTCAAACTTACAGGCGGAAAGGTTCGTCGACACGCTGAAGCGAGCCCTGCTGAAATCCTGTGGGGAAGGAACGACGTCCGTCGAAAGTCTACAGGATTATTTGCTGGTGTATCGTGCAACACCAAACGAGGCTCTGCCAAATTGACAGTCGCCATCTGAGGCACTCATGAGTCGCAAATTGCGGACAACCAATTCCGCAATGATTCCGGCACAGAACAACCACCCGGAGCCTCCGAGTTTGAAATCTATAACTCCATTTGAGATTGGAACAGCCGTGTACGTTCGGGACAATCGACCAAGGCACGACACATGGATCGAGGGAACGATTGCCCGCCGACACGGCAAGGGCATGTTCGACGTGACGGTAGGTCACGAAACGTGGTCAAGGCATGGCAACCAGCTCCGATGGAGAAAAGGATCTGCGACATCAAATCGCCAAATCAGAGTCCCGCAGGATTTACTATTTGAAACATTTCAGTTGATGCCATCGATCACAACGCTAGTGAAAACAAACAGATTTCAACTAGCAGCAGACAAGTCCTCAACCCCAGGGCAGAGTAATCGAAAACGACGGAAACCAACACTTCTCCATGTCGACCCAAAGAAGAAGTGTTACCCCAAGATTCCTCGCCATTGGCTTCTGGCACTTTTTACACTAATTCACTAACGTGTGTTTAATTACGTTTTTTAATCAGATCAAGGACAGTCTTGACTCGAATTAGTTTCACAGTTGTAGCTGACGTGAATAAAGCTCTCTACACGAGCTCTGGACTTGTATGAGCGTGGGAAGGTCGGTGCTAGCGTCAACAAGGGACGTCGTACCGTTATTGGAGTGGTTTTCTCTTTGTTACGAGCAAACGTAACAACCTCCCGACGGCGATTATACATGCCATGCCTGGTACTTCCTCCACTGCTTCACAACTACCACCTGTTGACATTATTATAAACCTAATGAGTGGCTAAATTTATCTTAGTGACCAGAACATGCACATGGGGATAGACAGAGGGGAGGTTAGTTGGCTGTGATTAATGCGATTATGCTAAAATTATCATGAATGTGCACACGTTATGAGCCGCGACAGCCCAATCAAAGGCTTGGCCACACGGACTGCGTGTCTGTTGCACAACAACAAAATTTTGAGTTGGTGAGGCAAATACGAAAGACCCACCCCACGCCTTGACAACACAATGAAAGGCCGCTCGTGAATGGCTGGAAGGCTTGGACGCCGGCTTGGCACCTCTGGGTTCTAATGATTGCACGCCAGCGCCGTCACTGATCCACTCTTGAGGAGGTGGGCCCAGTTCAGCCTCATCCTCTTGTCACGGGGTGTGTGACAAGGGTACATTGGAGATGCCGAAGCCTTCCACTTAATGCAATCACGCCGTGGCGATCAGCGACCAGACTCTGTTAGCACGCGTTCCCTCAAAACACGCGGCATGTTGCCTTCGTAAATCTCGACGCCCAAAAATAAGAGGCAACTTGGGTGTTAGATGTGCCAATGAGCATAAGTGTGTGCTGGTGTAAGACGTGAAACAGAAATTTAAGTCAATCAAGTTGGAGAGAGGCTCCCTTGGGGCGAGCTTTATTGTGGCTTCTGCGATGTATGTACAAGGACGCAGGCATATTGGATCGCGAAGAGATCAGCCAATCCCCTTCCTTCGTTTGCTTGAATAGAGAGTCAAAGACATGAATGGATGAGAATCACTATGTGGTGAACGGTGCACGCAGCGGGGAGGACTCGGATGGATAGCGAATTTTGATTGGTCAATAAAGTTCGCTGTGTTATACCGGTCTTCTTTCAACTAGGACTCGGGTATTCTACAGCATCATCTCTCGTTGTATATTTGATCGATAATCGAGATGCGGTTGTCCTTTCACTACCCTTCTCACTCTGTTCCTATCACCTAATACGAGGGGGTTCCACCAGTTGCATTGCAGTAATCGTACTGTCACCCACCGGATTGGTTTGTGCTGGCAGTTACTTCGGCCAATCAAACCTAGACCTTGACGCGCTTGATACATTGACTTAATTGGTGATGAGTATCCAGCCGTCTACAGCTAAGGAATGTTCGAAGCACACAATTATACCGAGATCTCCACACAACTGGCCTACTTTATTAAAATGATGTTTGTTAAGATTGACTATACATTTCTGATGAAAAGTCAAGTTAGAAATAAAGACGCATTCATTGGCACCGAAATCTGTTAACAATTTTAAGCGTCATTTTTATGACAAAGGAAGTCAGGAGATTCAGGTTTTCATAAGGTTTGTAGACAATCGCGCATAGTTTTGAGCGAAATTGTCTGGTAGTCGAGGGTGAAAGTTACCTTAACGGTTCTAGATTTATGGATATATAAGAACCTGTTTTTGAAGTGTGACTTAATTTAATCAGTGAAGTGTGACATGTTCTGTTTGTTCAGTAAGCAAATTAAAAGCGGCGCTAACCAGGACTTACAATTAAAACAACAGATGAATCAATACTGACGTAGCAAATGCCGCATTCGCCATGCGTTCAGAAAATCGATATGCTGCATTCAAGCTAACTGCCCTGATCTCAGCAACGCTCCTCGTTACAATTAAACGCAGAAGAATTCAAACGCCTTCCCTGAACCATATATGTCTGGAATTTCCCGTAACATTTTTACAAACACCGCGACTTAGGGGTAATCTGTTGTTTTGGTTGTTATTCATACATGATCTCGAATTCGGCGCTTCCTTCACCCCTCGCAAAGTCCACCTTGATGTTCTTCGCGATGAGCCAACACCTCACTCGGATGAAGGTGTTGCGTTTAACGCCGTCAAACATGACGAAGACCAGGGGCTGTAGGTAGGCTATCTGACCGCGGTAGGGGAAGTACATGGAGTGGAAGCTGCCGTTCTCAAGTTTGCCGGGATTCTTACCTGGAGCTATCGCCGAGAACTTGTAGTCCATGTCGTAGTAGCGGATGGTGCCGAGGTTGTAGGTGTCGTCCGCGGTCACACCAGAACACTTGACCAGCACGCCGGTGGCGAACTCGTCGATTGGGTCGGGCAGCCATCCGTAAATGCGGCCCATTTTGAGCACAAAACAGGCCTGGGCTG